CCTCTTTTTCTTGGCCGAACCATCAACTGCCGCCGACTTAGTTTTTCCCGCTCGCTTCTCGCCTTTCTTTTCTGCTGGAACTTTCGGTGCCATGTTTATCTGGCTTCTCTGAAAAATTGTTTGGAATTCTAGATGATCCGATGAGATCAGCTTTGAACATGCCACGGTAACTTAACTGCTATTTATTACAAATTATCCAGGAGGATTAATTAGTATGCGGATCGAAATTGCCTTTCGCCGATTGGTTATTTCATTAACTGACAACTACCCATAGGCCGACGCTACCGACAGCGCATTTTGCCTGCTAATTATCTTTTGTTCGGAGTACGGCGCGGTTTTGATTGGTGCGCTTTGATCCTCTGATTTGAAGAAAAATCAAATAAAAATCCGGGTCATAGTTTCGGGCTGACTAGACTAGAACAAAATCGTTCAACTCAACTTTGCCAGAGATAACAAGCAAAGAGAACATTCAGAAAGTGAAAATGACAGGTCGAGGAAAAGGCAAAGCTCCGGGCACCAAGTCTAAGAGCCGTTCATCCCGGGCAGGACTTCAGTTTCCTGTTGGTCGTATCCATCGTCTCCTTCGCAAAGGCAACTACGGCGAGCGTGTCGGCGCAGGTGCTCCAGTCTACTTGGCTGCCGTACTGGAGTATCTGAGTGCTGAGATTCTCGAGTTAGCTGGAAATGCTGCTCGGGACAACAAGAAAACCAGGATCATCCCTCGTCACCTGCAGTTAGCCGTTCGAAACGATGAAGAGTTAAACAAACTTCTTGCTGGTGTGACTATCGCTCAGGGTGGAGTTCTTCCCAACATACAAGCAGTGCTTCTACCCAAGAAGGCGGAGAAGAAACAACATTAAGCTCCCAGCTTAATAACAAACTCAAAACGGCTCTTTTAGGAGCCACCAAATGTTGATAACAGTCATGTTCCAATACAAAGATAAGCGGCCTTATAGCAATACATCAAAGTTACCAAAAACTACCTCCTGTTAGGCATTCGCTTCAACTACAAAACAAAACTAATGAAATCAATGTAAAGTTGCCTGCAGTACACACATAGAGAAAAACACAAGGCGTACAATAATTAGGCATGCGCGCGTTCGTTTTAAACCGAAAGTCCAGTGTATTATATTTATCAGCTGGAAGTCGATAAAAGTGACTTAAAACAGTCTTAGCGAGTTAATCTCTTGTGTGACTTTCATATATATTCTCTACGGCTTTTATTACAAGATCTAATAAGTACCTACGAGTGTTCGAGACGTTGTCTAGTGGTCCTGCTCGGTTCGGCCAGGAAGGCGGCAAAAGCGAAAGAGCAATCCAAATGTCCGGCAGTAAACTTATTTACTATGTGGGTGTATTCATCATGCAGTTTGC